GCATTTGGCCCTCCGTACACGTTGTTTTAAATGAACATTTTTTGTCTTTAACCTTGTGATATCTGACTATTAGGCGTAATGTCACTGAATTAAAGATGAAATCACAGTTTAATTGTTCTCTGACATTGCTGGTCTACTGGCAGGAAAATGGTTTGTGAAACTTGCATTGTTCTATCCCAGCTGAAAAATGTATTGGTCAGTTACCGATGCCAGATTGTAATGTTGGCCTTTATTTAACATACGTTTTACTCGTTATTCGCCCAAGCCTGCCCTTTCAGTTCTGAGCCACATTACCTCGTCTTGGCCAGACTGTGTCAGGACAATATTCTATGGTAATACAGAACAGCTGTTGTTTGATTCAGGCCCATCATTATCCCTCTGACACTGTTTCCTATGCGTTTCATGTCATTGTTAATGTGTGCTTTTTCCGTGTTAACTAGTTAACTAGTTGACTAGAGACTTCAGTTATTAGAGGGAGCACAAGGCAATCAATGGTTCTGTACTGATAATAGTTCTCTAAAATGTTCTCCTGACTGCGTTTACCCTACTTTGCATCGTGTGTTATTATCCCATCATGTGTTTGGCTCAATGTAACCACTAACAATATTCCTTGGGGATAATAGTCATTGGCAGTTTCTTGTTCTCCGGTCCACCCACACTATATTTATCCTTTTCTACGCTGCCCCCCATGACCTACACATAGAATTCTTGCATAAGATTTGTGTTTTCATGTTTCCCATCAGCTGAGGGGGAGGAATCCTGGGGAATAGGAGGTTGGCACTGTGTGCTTTATATACAGTTTTGCCAGAAATTTGTTTCAGATCATAAATCTGTTTTCACGTTCAGCAGATTAACACGTATCACTCCTACATTCTACAAATGTGTTTCATTTGTTATTTACATGTGTGCAAATATCAGAGACGCTCACTAAATCTGTAGCTTGTATTATGTTGTTACTATAGGTATGTAAATACTTGGATTAATAAATAAAGAGGATGGAATACAGAGAGGAGGGACAGAGTAAAAACAAAGGGAGGGATGGATGGATGGAAGAAAGGAAGAGATTGAATGAAAAAATAGACAGATGGAATGGAGATAGGGAAGGATGAATGAAGATAGAGAGATGAAATGAAGGTGGAGAGATGGAATGGAGAGATGGAATGAAGAGAGGGAGAGATGGAATGGAGAAATGGAATGGAGAGATGGAATGAAGAGAGGGAGAGATGGAATGAAGAGATGGAATGAAGAGAGGGAGAGATGGAATGAAGAGAGGGAGAGATGGAACGGAGAGATGGAATGGAGAGAGGGAATGAAGAGATGGACACATGGAGTGAAGAGAGGGTGAGCTAGAAGAAGGAGGAAGGAGAAATGTTGATAGAGATAGAGGAAGTTACGAGGAATAAAGCTGTGTCCAGTTGTCCTCTGAGCTCTGTGTGTGTGTCTGTATTTTTTGGTGGGGTCATTTTTGGGTAAATGTAAACTGTTGGAAATGGTAGTGGGCTGTATGTTATTCACCAGGAAAACAAGGCAATAAAACAGTATAATTACAATTAATCAGAGTACCGGATTTCTGCCATTCAGGGAAATATATGGAAAATGGATAAACTGACAAGAGATTTCTCCGATCCCAGAGATACCAGGAGAATGTCCGCTTTGGAGAATAGTGCGAGGCAGGAAGTTTTTATAATAAATACACAATAGAAGGTGTGGTGGATACTTCAGGTAAAGCAGGATTACAAGGGTCAGAGGAAGCCACAGTCCGTTATGGTGCCACATTGTCACGCAGTTTAGTATTATACAGGGAATGCCTGCACGGTGTCATTAATCAGGGAGAGTCTATGGAACCACCAAAATAGCTCAACTGGGAAAACAGCTATGCTCAAAACTTTCCCAGTTCATCTATTTTGACTTAAAATGTGTGTTCCCACAATTCTACACAGATCTCAGTTTAGCTATTCAAGTAACATGGTTATTTTTGACAATGATGGTTCGGTTTCTGGCAATAAGCCAAGAAAAAATCCCAACTGAATTCAAACAATCATCAGTCTCCGATGGCTTCAGCCAAGAGCAGCCAAACCCCCTCCATCCAGCAAATTGTAAGGACAATCCCCCATATTCTAATGTAATACAATGAGCTGTAATAATACAATAAGCTGTAATAATACAATGAGCTGATACAATTCATTGTCATAATACAATGAGCTGTGATACTACAATGAGCTTTAATAATACAATAAGCTGTAATAATACAATGAGCTGTAATAATACAATACGTTGTCATAATACAATGAGCTCTGATACTACAATGAGCTGTAATAATACAATAAGCTGTAATGGTACACTGAGCTGTAAAAATAGCTGATATTAAACACTATGCTGTAGTAATATATCTGACTCAGTGAGGAACTTGAACGTCCGATTTCCAAATCTGAGAATTGAGCCAGGAAAGCCCCACATCTCATGCACAAACTTTCAACACATTTCACCATAAGATCACTGCAGATCTTGCATTTTTTTCTTCTTCTTCTTATTATTATTATTCGTAATAGCCTGGCATTGTCCCCAGCAGTGCAGTCCCAGGGCCGTTCTTGACGAGGGGCTTGGCCGGTGAGTCTGATGTTGCACTACACTCTGACACATTGCTGAACACATTGCAGTCTCTGCTTAGTTCATTGGGGGTAGTCAGGGGTCTAGAGTGGGCCAGGTGTGGGCGCACAGGGCGGGGGTCGCGGAACTGGTGAGTGCTAACCGGGTGGCTAATAGTCTTCAGGTATCCTATGTGCGCATACAGGAGGGGCGACTTGTGCTTCATCTGGCTCGGTCCGAGACCGATGTCAGGGGGTGGAACGTGACACGGGGTGAGCTCTGCCGGGATCCACGTTATGCCCGGTGGCCGCGGTGTCAAGGTACCTGGCTAGGAGGCCAGCCGTTGGGGGGGTCGTTGCTGGTGCATGCAGATGGCTCTTCCTCGCTTTCAATTTACCAAGGTTTTTCTGTTAGGCCTGGCGAGACAAGGGTTACATGCTGGTAAGTTTGGGAATCATTCCTTCCGCATTGGGGCGGCAATGGAGGCCACACACCTGGGCTTGGGGGAGGTGTTAGTCAAGAGGATTGGGAGATGGGAGTCTGTCAGGTTCCGCTCGTATGTGCGTTTGGGTTTATTGGATTGAGACGGGGGGTCTGGGGGTACTGCATGGGAGTCGGTGTTGATGTTTTGTTTGTTTCCCTAGGTCAAGTCACCTGGATCGTTGGGCATTCATTCGTTTTCTGGCCCGAGAGGAGGGCTGCTGCTCGAGTTCAGGGTCAGCAGCTGGGCTTTCCGAAGGACCAGTTGGTGCTTCGTTGGTTCGGTTACAGGGGTTTTTGTTGGGGGGACGTATGTAATGCTGTGTTTAGGATGGTGGCGGGTGGGGGTAGGCCAGACAATTTTGACCCATATACCCTGGTGTCCGTATTTTATTGGGTTAGGTATATGTTTTTTTTTGTTCTGATTCCGCCTGCCCATATGGCGACTATGCACCTGTCATGTTTAATCACGTATTAAGAAGTGTTACATTTGGGAACCTCTTGATACCAAGCCAAGGTCAGGTAATCCAAGAAAGATTTCAGCCACAGCTGCCAGAAGAATTGTTCGGGATACAAAGAAAAACCCATGGGTAACCTCAGGAGAAATACAGGCTGCTCTGGGAAAAGACAGTGTGGTTGTTTCAAGGAGCCCAATACGACGATAATTGAACAACAGTGAGCTGCATGGTTGAATTGCCAGAAAGAAGCCTTTACTGCGCCAATGCCACAAAAAAGCCCGGTTACAATATGCCCAATAACACCTGGACACGCCTCACCGCTTCTGGCACACTGTGATTTTGAGTGAGGAGACCAAAATAGAGCTTTATGGTCACAACCATAAGTGCTATGTTTGAAGAGGGGTCAACAAGGCCTATAGTGAAAAGAATACCATCCCCACTGTGAAGCATGGTGGTGGCTCACTGATGTTTTGGGCTCTAATGATACAATGAGCTGTAATAATACATTGAGCTGTAATGATACATTGAGCTGTAATAATACAATAAGCTGTTGTAATACACCGAGCTGTAATAATACAATAAGCTGTAATGATACAATAAGCTGTAATGATACATTGAGCTCTAATGATACACCGAGCTGTAATAATACAATAAGCTGTAATGATACATTAAGCTGTAATGATACAATAACAGCTCATTGAGCTCTAATGATACAATGAGCTGTAATAATACATTGAGCTGTAATGATACATTGAGCTGTAATGATACATTGAGCTGTAATA